GGACTTCCTGATAATAATGAATTACAGTCGTCCAGCCTGGAAGTAATAAATGCATGAACTAGTTTTTCACTCTGAGACAGGATATTTCTAACTTTAGAGATGTTGCACAGAAAGATTAAGTAACCACACCTACCAATAATGCATGTTTTATAGACTTGCGTAGACCAAATAACCAGGACTGCAGCCAGGACTGCAGCCATAGCCCCAATGATCACAGCTTGATTCCCATCAGAGTAATCCTGTTGATGGTTAACTTAAACACAGAAAACATTCACATTAGTTTGGGATTTAGTGAAAACATAATTTGATGACCATCCTTAGTCAGTTTTGACACCACTTTATCATGTGACCCTTGAGTTACTTGACCCAGAAAAAATGGCGTAGGAGTGTACAAACAGGAAACGATAAGCAGCAATAATGACAAGTTAAATGGCCATTAATGATGCAAAGCTAGTTATTTATCTTTGTGGTGAGCAGCAATATTAATCAATATTAGACAGCAGCCTAAAAAAAATTACATGAAGATTTTTTTCTGGACCAATTTTTTAGATCTAGCCTGTTAATTATAATTTTCTTTTCTTTGACACATCACATTTGTTCAAATAACCTGAAAGAGTGCATGATGACATCTTACAGCACCAAAATGGCTACGACAGTAAGACTTTTATACTTCATGGCAATAAAAACACCATGTTGACTCATCTACATGAGTTAAAGCAGGTATTACAAAAACATGTGAGTAGGGTTTTATTTTTCCTTAAAATACCCCCAAAACAAAGCAAAATACATACAGAGGAACCGTGTAAGTGCTCTACTTTGTTGCCTTGAAAACATGATTAACTCACTCTGAATTCAAATACAGATCTAGCCCTGTAAGACTCAACCCATCAAAAAACAGCCAGAAAATTCTGATTTTTTTGGAACTGAGATGTTTATTAACCCTTCAAAACAAAATCCATTGTTTATAATCTATGTTTTGTATCACATTTGATACATTGGGCATTTGTGGCAACTTTTTGTTAACAACAATGTTAATTTTAGACAAAAATTGTTTTGTCCATAACATTTTGAAATTATAGAACGTGTTTTACAGTTTTTCCTCTCAGAAACTCCTATATCAAATATGATACAAATGGTATTATAGGGTTAAAGAAGAAAATGGACTGTGATCAGAAGACTAATGATACAGGCACCAAATCATAACAGCAAAACTTTCTTACCCCAAATCACTGAAACATGCAAATTCGTTGCCTCATGAATGAGTTCACAGCTGAACTTTGACAGGTCAGACTTTAAAATCTCCACAGACTCTCTCCTCTGGAAGGTCTCATCGTTATTTGGAAGAACTCCTGAACTCTTCAGGCCGTCGTCTGCAGTCAGAACACGTCCGTTCCTTGTGATCCTCATGATGATGTCTTTGGCGTAGAAGCCTGTGGCGAGGCAGGTCAGGATGAGGTTTGTCTGCACTTTGGCCTTCTTTGCAAACACAAACACCTCAGGTGGAGCTGGAAGCAGGAAATGGAAAGTGACGTGTGCATGATGACTTAACACACATAACTGAACCATCCCTGAATATGTATTCATAACAAAAAACTAGTCACCACACAGAGTTTTATATTTTTATAATTGATAATACAATTTTCCTATTTAAATGAGGTTTGAGATCGTAGGAAACTACAAGTACCTCAGGCTGCGGCAAGACAACAAACTGGAGTTCTCTTGCATGAATGTATAAGAGGGGCCAGAGCAGGCTGTACTTTCTGAGAATGGTAAATGGCCTGTATTTATATAGCGCCTTACTAGTCCTTAAGGACCCCAAAGCGCTTTACATATCCAGTCATCCACCCATTCACACACACATTCACACACTGGTGATGGCAGCTACATTGTAGCCACAGCCACCCTGGGGCGCACTGACAGAGGCGAGGCTGCCGGACA